AAAAATTGGTATTTAAAACTGTTTCTTTATGCTTCTTGTGTACAGAGTATACCAATTTTCACTGTTTTTTAAAATATAATTTCTTTAAATATTATTCCATATTCTAAGCATGTTTTTAACTGTTAACTGGACCATTTATGCCATTTGCTTATATCCAGAGTAAAAAAGTTAGATAGGGCCTATGATTCGATATTCGTGGGATGAAATGATTATATTTCGATAGAATGCATTATTAAGATTACTTTTTAAAGAGATAATTCTTGTATTCGAATAGGAACCTTCGTGTTCAAAGGAAAATCTGTTGAGTACTTTTCGTGTTTGGTGGGTTAAAAACTCGTAAATTTTCGTTGAGTTTGTACTTGTACAATATAAATCTCCCCCCTCATTCTAACATAGCCATCAGCCCACCACCTCTCACATGCAATGCCATCAATGCTGTATACATAATCTTATGTTCCAAGTGTGATCGTGGTTGCTATGTCGGGGAGAAAGGGAGCAAATACAGACTTAGATGTAACAATCATAAGGTATAGATTCGGGACAAAGAATTAGGGTTCCCTGTTGCACAGCATTTTAATCTTCCTACCACTCTGTTAATATAAAATTTGTATTAATTGCTTCAAAGTTCCGTTTAAGGTAGGTTTTAGTAACATAGGCCCTATTAATAATAATAATAATAATAATAACTATTATAATATTAATATTGATCATTATAATAACTATAATATTGGCCTAATCATTTACATAGACCCTTTGTCACTATTTCGATTAGTGTGTGTACTCAGATGTTTGATTGCCGACAGTTTTCTTATCTGGCTTGGTTGTTTGTCATAGGCATTTTTACCGCCAACTCTTTCAAATCCTGTTAGTTTTCAGTGGATCTCCCTGGAAAATATTTAACAGAAGGTTATTTATCTTCGGTTATTTAACACCATATAAAAGAAGGTATAGCCCACCCAGCAAAGCTTATCATTGGGACCTTCACATACAATAAAATACAAGAAAATTTGATAAAACTGTGAAACAGGTATAAAACAGTATAAAATTATAGAAATATAGTTAAAAAACAAAACAAAACGAAACAAAAACAAAATAATTGACAATGGATAAAATGTTGCTGGATAGAAATTCTTTAAACCTAATTTTAAACAGTGAAAATAGTCAATAGAAGGAATAAAATTAAGAATAATATTTCAATATAGGCCTGAGTTCTATAACTAAAACAATTTTTAAATAATTCATTTTTAGGTTTAGGAACAAAATAATTATAATGGCCCTAGAGTTAGAACGATTATCAGACTGCATCTTAGTCATCACATTGAAATCTTTACATTGGCTACCAATTAAAGAGCGTTGCATATAAAATCCTCTTCCTTGCCTATCGCAGTTTCAATTGGTAAGGCACCAATCTACTTATCCAACTCAATTCCTCCTCACATCCCTGGCAGGGACTCTCTTCGATCCAATGATTCTTTGCGATTAGTCAAGAGGCGCAATAAGAGATCCTGGGGCGCACGTACACGCGCATTTGTGTCGGCAGTACCTGATTTATGGAATACCTGAGCCTATCTTTGTCTCTCAATTGCTTTAAAAAGGCACTAAAAAAGCATCTTTTCACCACTTAGTCTTTTTTCCATTTGGTGCTTTCGTGTCGTCTCCGGACTCATTTTTTGTGACCAGTGTGGGCTCTCTATCCTTTTACCGAGACAACGTCGCTGTCTTTGCAGTGCACGGTAGTGGAGCTAAGGGCTTAACCCAAGGTGGAAGGTACCGGAGCCCAACATAAACGTGTGCCTGTGCGCACACGGGTGTGATAGCGAGACGCCGTTTCGATATTAGATGGTGGAGTCCCATCCTTGTCTCACCTTCGGTTTTTTCTGTGCCAATTGTCACTATTGTTATTGGATTTCGCGTTTCTTATTTAAGTTTTTATTTTATTTATTTTGTTTATTTATCTTGGGCTATAGCTCAGACATGTCAATGCGCCATGAGCGTTTGACATGAGCAGATATTTTAAACTTTAATGACCCTCTTAAATGCCACAGGCCGCAATCAAACGGCGCTATGTTAACATTTTTCTTAGACCTATACCAATATATTAGAGTAGTATTTAATGCACTGATCGTAAACTTACCGGAGAATCCGATAGTTGTCTGTGATTCTATAATGCGCTTGTTACAGGGCTGGTCGTTTACAGCCTGATAGCATAAATAAAAAATAAGCTTGATGCTTGTGGTTTTTGTTCATTTTTTTTTATACAATACTGCCCTCCTCTGCGAAAAGGCAATAAGTACATTTTTTTTTCAAAATTGATATATTCGGCTTACGTGACTCCTCAATAGGGAGTTTTCGATGCACGACGTTAAATTTAACATTAGTACCCAATATGCAGCGCGATAGCTCCGCCCCTTTTTTAAACAAACCGAAATATGCATGCGCAAACCCGTAACTACGGTAACGTACGTCGAGCACGTAAAATCCTGAAATTAACGTACTCCGAAACGCAAGATGAATAAATTATGACGTTATCCGTTAAAGTTAAGGTTAACATCGTACATCGAAAATTCCCTAATGTCTAATCTATCACCTTAGTTCATCAAAATTCCCCAAAAAATGTCTGGAAATATGAAATTTTATTTTAAAATTGGGCATTATCTGCAAATTTCACTACAAATACTGCAAGAATTAAAAAGGCATTATGTGCATTGAACGCTTGACTTCACGCAGGACAGACAGTAAGTAACCAATCAGATGCTAGTGTAACGAATATCTAATTAACTAGCTAGGAATCCTTAACAAATAATGCCAATAGTAATTGCTTATTTAAAGAATACGCTATCATGGACACATTAATCTGAGAAAGTGAATTACCTACTTTGTATTTTATTACGTTCAACTATTACTTCTACGATTTTTGTAATACTTTTGTCGGAATGGCGCAAGTTAAAGCGCAAATCTTTTTAGAAGTCTTTGAATTAGAAGAGCAAGTATACAATACCATTGTACTCAGCATTGTAAATAATTTTTTTAAGTGTTTTGTACACGATTGTATTATTTATCTATGTTATATTGTTTCATTATAATAACTCTATTTATTTCATGTAATTAATTAATCATCACGATTGTATTCTGCAAATACATTTTACCATTGTAAAAATAATAGTTGCAATGTGATAATGATGATGATTATGATGATAACAACGACGATGATGATAATGATGACGAGGATGAGGAGGAGGAAGAGATTTAAAAATATGATGATGGGCTAGTTACCGAACCATTAATAAAATAAGTCTGTAACATATTTTGACAAAACTAAAATGATAAGAACAGTTCAAGCTAGGTTACCACCCACCCACCCCACCCCACCACATCTAGATGTGTATAAGAGACAGAAAAAAGGGCTATCTCCATTTTCGCCCCTTAATAAAAAAGAATTAATGAAAAGTATGTGGCAAATTTTATAACAACATATCTAAACAAACCATAGTTTAAACATTTGAAATCATTTGTACTTTTTTGGGAAAAACCCAAACGCGTTTTGCTCATTTACTCTCATTTTGTTACTTAATGCCTTTTCTCAGAGGGCAGAATAGGCCTACACTCTGCGGACATAATTTCGATATAAGTGCGGGGCATAAGCAGCTTAGTATCTTTTGAATTCATTCAAAGCTATCTTTCATACCACTACGATGCACTCAAAAATACTTTTTTAAAGAATTATTTCGAAACCAATTTAAGTATCGGCACGCACGTTTCATGTTTTAAGGTTTGTTCAGCTATTGTACATGTTTTTGAATAATAACGTCAGGTGATCATAATTTTTCCTTACTTCTTTATTCTAAATACAAAAAAAATGTATATTCGTGGAAAAAAACACAATAGTGCCGAGAAGGAACATATTGCCACTGTTGTCTAAAATAATACGTTTTAGATTTACTTCACTGCCAGAAGGTCGATGATTGCCATCTATTTTTGCCAAACAGGTATTATACTTTGCCAGACTCATGACATGCCCAATAAACGTGGTCAATATCCTTGAATACTTTTTCGAACATTCTATAAATATTTCTGCTGTAAGCGTAATAATCTGTTTATGAGCATTACGAGTTTACTGCTTGTTTCAGTCATTACCGTATTAATGTGCTGTGAAAACCATTAATACACGTCAAGTTATTAATATGGACAATGGATGTCTAATTAAATTTTAAATTGTTTTGAATTAAAACAGTACAGGTACAGTAGCCTATAGGTAAATATCTTACTTTTCTACGAGATCTAGAAAAGTAAGATAAATCTTGCGTCTTACTTTTCTAGATCTTTCTTTTCTAGACACCCGTTCAGTGTACCGTACAAGTGCGGATAACGAAATGTTTAATAAAGTAGGGTGGCAATATGGTCTAGATTGCATTGGCAAAAGACCTGGCAGCAACGGGCCAGAAATCCATAGTTCTGCTTAACTGAAAGTACAGCAGGTCGATGATTGTTATATTGTTGTCAATATTATAGTAAAATGCCTAATATGCCTAGGTCTAAATGAATTTAAATGGGCTCAAAATCTATATATTTTTTCGGATATTTAATAGACAATTGTGCTGTAAATAAGCGCAATTTATCAATTTAAAAATGTATGAACATTAATAATTTTGCCTGGTAGACCCCTTCAGGTGCCCTTTTTAGGACACTTTTTAAAGTACTCCGACTAAATATACCATCATGAGTGGATTTCCCGCACGATTAAATTTATAACGGTACTGGGTTTGGTCTACAAAAAAAGTGTACCTTTTTAGCAAGGTTTGCCTAGGTCGAAACTAACTCCGGCTATATTAAATTGATTATTAGAAGACTAAAAATGTTATTCTTGTTAATGAATAGATAAGGATTTTTTTTCAAATATTTATTTGAAAAATATACCATATGAAATAAAGTTTATAATACTGTAATATTTGATATTTTAAACAAAGCAATAAGATTGAATTATGTTAAATACAGACAATATCTTTAATAAAATATTGTAAGCAAATGTAGTTTATTAAAATTCTCAAATAACACACAAGTAAATAATCTGATAATGGTGTTTAATATACAATATTTTCAGATTAATAGAACTCTGCCTTTTCTACATCTACTAATTAATAATACAGTACCCTGAATATTAAACACCTTTTTATGCCTATTGTAAGTCGAAAACTTGTTTATTTCATTTGATCTAGTGTATATTTGGAAATATTATGAGCATATCGACTCATAGGATTTAATGATAATTGTGGCAGACACATGGACAGTCCTAATCCTATGTAGGGTGTACTGCAACCAACAACCCAGGCAGCAACCACCTAAATTTAACATTAACAATCCAAGATTGCTCAATCACATTCTATTATTTATGGTTCAGATTAAACAGCATGTAAAAAAATATCTGATTTTCCAAAATACAGTTTTGATTTGATATTCATGCTCCTGTACAGTACAGTATATCAATATCAGATACTATTAACAACATAAAATGTGGGCTGTGGATGACAAATGATTTTGAGAACTGTTCACTGTTTAATATCATGTTGCTTGGTACTACATTATTATTTTGTAAATAAAACTACACACTATATCTAGATTTCTGTCTGATATCTGTAATTTGCCTATTATATTGGCATAATAATGTGAAATCAGATAAATGGGCCAACACAGTGGACAGTGCTCAACATAAAATAACAATTATTTTCATAGGTTTGAATGTTGTGGACTGGAATTCTGCAACTGTACGTGTATGGAGTGCTAAGCCAGCACAGCATAGACTAATAGATTGAATATGCATGCCATAATATTATCACCACAAGGGCAGAACAACCCATGGCAAATTCTCTGAAACATCACACTGTATAGCTGCATGAACATACAAGATATTAATTTCGATGATGATTATTGATTAAAGTAGGAGCATGGAGATATGAAAACTGCCTACACGACATCAATTTTTTTTGCTATTAACTTGTGTTTTTCATCTCTAGTATTCCAAGTGCCTGTAGGCTGGCATACACTGTGTCGACGGTTGTTGGTTGGGCTGCTTTCATGGTCACGGGTGACCTGCTCAGAATGCAACTGTCAATCATCAGATGACATTTCATCATCAGGTGCTTAAAGAAAACAGCGATAGACATGTCGGCCAATTGCCAACATAGTACTATATGTGCACTGCTTAAGAAGACACAAATAGTACTGTAATAAGAATTGAAATGACATTCTAAAATATTTTCGAACTGATTTTTGAGTTTTATACAGGGGTGTTGGTACAAGCACATGTTCCCAAAGATAGTAATGCGTACTTCAAGCTACAGAGAGTTTATTAAATTTGTGAACATGAAACAATGTCTGAGATGCTGTATGCATCAGTGATGGAATAAGGAACTGGTAATGTTTTCAAGTCAATTTATTCCAGTTAGCTGGTTATAGTTTTCTTCTGCTATACACAATTTAAGGGCTATTTACAGAATGTCTGTGAAAGAATAAAAACAAGTTTTGTCTGTTGTAGTTTGAGGAGCTTTCACCAGTAAAAATTAGTGCTTATGAAGCTGGCAGCTGATGACAGCCATCCCCTACTCTCCTCGCTGCCTGGTCCATTGATACGGGTCATGGCTTTATCCAACCCACGTAGCGGACTGTTTTCCTCCGGCAGGTACTTGGGTAGATTATCATTTTCCTTGTTTACTGTTGCAGGATTTGCACCAAAAGTCAACATTACTTCCTCACCATGCTCATTTTTGATTACCTGTTCAGCACTCATAATTTTAGTTCTTGAAATGGCAGCAACGATTATCTGAAATAAAAAAAAATTCTTTCATTCTTAAATTTACACTAGATATAGCATATTTACTTTATTTTAAATATTATATTGCTTCGTTTATAGCCCTTTGCCTTATCTGACTCGATTGTTAAATAATCAAATCATCTACTATAATGAAAATACCCTATAAATATAAATATTTTTATATTTTTATAACCTTAAACCTTTTTATAACCTTTTTTTTTGTCATTTGCATGTTTCAATCTTAATATAACTTTTCATATTATTGTATTAAAAATATTTATATTTTTAAAAAATCCATCAATTCAGCCCTGGCTGCTATTGTATTCTTTTGTGTAAGGTTCTTTTCTGAATAAAGATACCAAGATACAAGAAGTTTTCTTCCTTGGCTGAATTAAAATTCAGGCGTAAAACTGGATATATTTTTTTCTAAAAACAATTTTCAAATTATATACTGTAACAGCTGTGTTGACCTGTATTTAGATTCGATTATCAGGTTTTGCAGGGATGTAGTCATGGTGAGTGGGGGTGGGCAGGGCCACCAGCCTTGAAGTTTTCCAAGTCTAAGGCTAATTTTATGGCCCTCCACTAACCTCTATTAACCCTCTTGCCCATCCTTAAAATTTACTCTTATTATTTAGAGTACTGTATTCACCCATCCACCCTTAAAATGTCTACAGCCCACCCTCAGTTTTCTACAGCTACAATCCTGATTAGAAGCTGAATTTTACAAATAGTATCCATTCTGTAAGTGACAGCCATTTTATTGTAATAAAATTAAAGGAAAAAGATAGGAAACACAGTCTGTTTTTTTTTTAATGAAACAACAAATTAATACCACTTTTGCTTAAATTAAACCTATTTTTTCCTACAACTTTTTTGTATTTGACGTTTATTCACACTTACTTCTGGTTTCAAGTCTGCTTTAGTTCTCAATACGCATCGCTTCTTTGCCATATCAAAGGTAAAACTTATCACTCCTTTGATTACTAGAAGTTCCTCTTCACAAATTTTCCTGCAAGCCTACAAACATTAACCAATTATGCAAAATGGATTTAGAATGACTGTACAGTGTATTTTTGAAGAATTTCTTGGTTAATTTCTAGACATCATTGTGACCAAGCCTTGTACATGAAACAGGTTAAACGTTCTGGTAAATCAGCATTGATATGGTTTCAACACCTAAAATTCATTAACAAATGTATACGATTAATTGTTTCTCTTTTTAATGATTTTCAGCCTAAGTAGGCCTACATTATGTACAGTCACTAAAAATTCATAACAGACATTAAAGATCTTGGAACATGGTATTCAAATATACAATTTTAGTTCATATGTTAGCCTCTAATTTAGCCTAATGTGTTAATTGTACTCATCAGTACACGGAAAAATTAATTTCATAGCCATTTTACTGACTTTTGAGGGTATTTTTGTAACGGATTTGTATCTCCCGAGTCGCTTCCTGAAATCGGTAATAAAAGCAGGAAATACATTGCTGTGTGTGATGACGTCATGAGGGGAACGCGGCTCTGTAGACTAGCAAGCTATAGATAGGCTAGTATCGCTCTTGTGTCAATTTTTAACTTAACTTATGAAGAATAAAATTATATACAAACAATAGCAAATTGATAGACATATAGGCCTACCTATTTCCAAATCCAAGCCCGATTTTTACCGGATTCTCTATATAAATTGTTCAGTCGTAAAATGGTCGGAACATAATTATACATGAGTACGGGCTACCTTTCCAGTGACTTCTCTTTACCTGTACAAAATTTTCCCACTTTCTAAAAGCAACTGGGTCTTTGGGAAAAACGTGCAAACTTATGCCGTCTTTGATTACATTGCTGCATCCCCTAACAACACATCGTTTCGGCATTTTATTGTTCTTTTTCCATACAAGCTTCACTCTACCATGTACAAACAACGATTGTGATTCGCGCGAATAAACTTCGTTCCTCTTCTGACGTTTTCACAAAGCGGCTACCGGAAACTAACGAAGATTCGCGTCTGAAACCGAGTCGAGAGCACCCTCTACAGAAAATACCATGTTCCAAGATCTTTAATATATTAAGTACAGTAATTCCTAGCAACTATTCCTGTATAAATAACTGATTAATAAATGAACAAAAAAAGATATACCTGGTTATCAAGACCATTGATGTGTAGGATTACAAGTTTGAATTTTTTGTTTCCTGTGATGAAAGCCTTGCCAGCATACCTGTGTTTGCTGCTAGGCTTATTCTCACTCACGTTCTGCTTCTCTCTTAGAGGGCTGAGAGGCTGTGGCACTATGGTATGCTTCAGTGTTCTAGCAAGCTCTTTGGCTTTGCTATTGTACGCATGCCTGAAAATAAACAAAATGCTTGTCAGAAAGAACGAGGATTGCAGCATGTCCACACCCTCAATGACTTTATTAGAAAAATCACAGGTTCACAAATATTTGATAATATCGTCTATATGGGATGGTTACTTCATTAAATTAAAATAATTCATTAGAAATAATTCATTGCAATCAATTGAAACAACAGAAAGAGAGAGAGAGCGAGAGAGAGAAAGAGCAAAGGCCTATACTCTAATTAAACTGTCCTCTTGATGGAATGTTGAAACGGTTAACGGTTACTTGTATAGCGCCTTTCTTTTCAGTTACGAAGCGCTGAAGTTCTTTTCTCTGGTCATTGGGTCCACATACTATGTGTTGCTGCTGGTAATCAGTGCAGGAGCAGGTAACCCCACCAGGTTCCCATTTATACTTCTGGGTGAAGAGAAGTAATGCAGATAAAGTGTCTTGCTCAAGGACACAAGCGAAATGCACAACGAGGGATTGAAACCCTGACCTTGAGGTTGGGAAACCAAACCATTCCAGCTGCGACAATCCGCTTCTGACTTTCTGACTGTACACAATGATTTGGAATAGTAATTGGAAAAGTTAGGTAATGACTGACCAATTTACTTCCTGTCATGTTGCTATGTGTGTAAAACTTCTATGCTTTGTTACTGACAGCCTACTCTCAGTCTACATTATATTTCAAACATATCTATAATCATCATCCATCAAGTTCAGTGATCTAGTTGATCACTGAACTTGTTAACAAATATATATACAAAATTAAATTTGTGGCTTACCTGTTGATAATTGCATCCAAACTCATTAACATACCAAGCTCATCCCTGATGACTGATCGATTGCTAACACACTGAGCAAGCAGAATTAATGTCTGTAAAAAATAGTTTAAAAATATCAATGTTATTAAAAAGTGATTTAAAGAGACTCAACACTTACAGGATGGGTGACATGAATCGCAACCAACTGACCAACCCCCTCCCCCAACCCCTTATCCACACATGCCTAATTCAGAGAGCTAGAGTAAACCTAGTGCACCGTTTTGGGATCAGGATTTTAAGTTTTCAATTAAATTAACGGTAAGCAGTGCATAACAAAATAAATAAATATTAACAATTAAATCTATAGGAACAATAATGAGGGTAGCCACATTGTACTTTGTTGTATCATCACTAATGAATAACCAAGTATGCAGATTGATGGCTTCATTTATTTTACAAAATGACATGTTTCAAAATATCATGTCTTAGAAAGTGACAAAATTGAGCTACTGTAGCTGATTTTGGTGATTTCTGTCAAGGCTTCGCGACCCACCAATTGATTCACAATCCACAGTTTGCGGAACCTTGCTCTACAGTAAGTCTTGTAATTAATACAACGCTTAGGAAAGAGAGCTGTGCTTTTCAGATTAAAATTGGAAACTCTGTCATTGTAGCTGTTGATAGTTTCTTCAAGTATATTTTCTGGTCGATCCAGGTCAAGAATTTGTGCAATAAAGCCAAAGGTAGTTAATAATTAAATTTTACACTGAGAAAAAAAAAGATATTTGGACAGCACCTTGCTTGCCTCTGTTTGATTATGCTGACATTGTCCAGGGAAATGCTAAAATGTTAATGAAATCAAAGAATCTGAAAAACAGCACAGCGTGGTCAACTTAGCAAGCATATTATATTTACTGTATATAGGAAAATGAAACCAACTGACTGGCTCAGATTTTTAACTAAACACAGGACATCTTCTACAACACACTGCAAACTCCACCATACATCCACGCATACCGTACAGTAACCTTTTTCCATTATTTGATTGCAGTCAGTATCTTGATGTTTGGTGGGAATGAAGTGAAACATGAATCAACGATTTTGCTGGATATAGAGAGTAATAGAAGTGGGTAGGGGAGCGAGATTGAGAACAACTTACCTCTAAGGCTGTGATGACAACATTAATATCTGGATTGTCCAAAAATAACACTAGTCCTGGTAGGCACCCTTGATCCTGAGGACAGATTTCAACAAGTAATTATAAATACAATTACTGTATTAAACATTTTTAGCATTTATTTCTAATCAAATTTTGAGCTTATAAAGTTCTAAGTTCCAAGCAAAAACTTTTATTTTTTTTTTTGTATTCAGTTAAGAATATTTTTTTTCATTTATTTGGTATAAAGGACTCTCTAATTTGATTAAGGGCACTCACATACTGCAGGACTACTTTAATCAAGTTTGCTTTGTTTGGTCACACCACTCATTGAAACAAATTAAGATTATTTATTTTATTTATTTGAACTTTATTTAATGAGGATGACCTGTGCAGCTCACCATTAATGCAGAGCTGATATTAAGGGGTCCTCAACAAACAAATATATAAAATAGACAGTAATAATCTGAGAAATATGAAAAAGATAATCAAAACACAGCAAGAGCAATGAAAGAAAAAAAAATAAATGGAATAAATAATAAACAAAAGATAAAAGAACAAGCTGAACATTCACACAAAAGTCACAATAAACATTTTAAAACATTATCTATAAAATATTTTGGAAAATAGATGCTTTAAGTAGTGAGTGTGAAATATACTGAATTTGAATTTGACTGATGATTGCAACAAAGAATGTGCACAAGATTGATATGTAATCTCAATGTCATTTTACACATTTAATTTTGAAAACATTTATTCAATCAAATCAATCAATAATAACATAACAAAATAGGGTTTCAAGTTACAAATGAATTTTATGTCATTAAAAACAAGCCAATCCTTTATAAATTAATTCATTAGTTATTAATTATTATTACTGTAATATTATTTATTAGAACTGTAAATATATCCTGATTGTATTTGTTACAGTTATCCCACTCACAGCTGTTGATTTAAAAACTGGTTGTAACTGTGCCCTTGTACTGTATATATTATAAGTTAAATATCAGTATTCAAAGTGGTTGCCAACCAATAAAAGTTTCAAAATTTTGAAAAAAATGATTATCAAAAGAGTATCAACCATTTACAATTCATAACATGCTTCAAATTATGCAGTTTTTGATCTTTGAATCAAGATTTAAGATCAAGATTAAAAATAACTTTATTGCAAATTTAATGAAAATTTGAAATGTGCAGAATAATTTAATGTAATAATATTACAAATATTTAAAATAATATTTAAATTATACAGTTAAATTAGTCAAAATAAGAAAGGATATTACAACATTAAACTACAAAAGAGAAATGTACAAAACTTGAAAAACAAAAACAATCAAAAAGGGCATAAATAAGGAAGACATAATGAGCAATTATACTGAGTACTACATTACTAAATAAAGTCTACTGGATTTTTCTTTTCTTTTTGGGGGAAGGGGGTAACTTACCTTTACAATTGTTTCTCTATTACTTTTGTCAGTAGCAAGGGCTTTCAGCTGTTTCACCACTGTAAGCACATCCATTATTTTCTTAATATAGAGGAAGCTTGATTTAGGATAGCTCTGGGAACTTTCTTCTACAAGTGTTAGCACCAATTATAATAATACACCACTATCACTATTCACTGAAGTCACTGTACTGAAATACTGAAAATATGTTTATGCTGATCATAATAATTTGCTGTCTACAGTTCTGAATATATTATTTTGTAGTAAGTTTGCGCTGAGTACTGATAGACAGCTTGCCATACTGTAAAGAATTTTAATTGCACGGATGATACATCAAAAACTATATCAATTTTCATGGAAAATCACTAGGAAAATAGCCTAATAGGTGCACAAAATCTTAACTGCAAAAAATGGTTTTATATTAAGAGATATCTAGTTTTCAGCAAAAACTACATGGAGATCGGTCCTTATTTCCTAGCTGTGCAGGCATTATTTTACAGTCAGGAGCACGATTGTAACTTGTTTTCTAACTGAGCCCTTAATGTGCCTGAGAGTTGTCGGCCAACGTGATTCTATAGAGAATGCAACAGCCCCGACGGGCATGCAACGGACCATTTTTAATGACTAGTTTACAACAGTATCCATTTAAAATGCCACCGGACGATCAGAAGACAGCGTCACATCTTCTAACGTCCACATGGAGCAGAGTTGTATCCATAGTAGCTTAACTTGAAATCTGTGAAAACTCCAAAAGCAAACAGAAGAAAAACATGTACAGTACAGTAGAACCTTGAATTTACGTACGGCACGGGACCGGAGGGCGTACGTAAATCGGGGGATTCGTAAAATAGAGGTTGGGTTAAATTTGTGGTAACCTTTGACCTAATACGTACGTAAGACTCAATACATGTATGTATGAATGAACGATGTTACCTAGCTAGGCTAAAGCAAGCCTCTAGGCCTACGAATAAAACCATGTGTTTAGTGTTTTTATTCATCACTTTACGATGTCATAATAAAGTGTTCAAATAAAACCGTGTGTCTAGTGTATTAATTCATCACTTTATATCTTTTATTTAACTAAAAGAACATGAAAATATTGTAAGATTACCTATACGACAAAGGTATAACTTGGGAATTCTCCTTCATGCCTATTTTAAACAACAGAGCTGTGGTGTTGTCTGGGCCTGTTGAGACAAACTAAACCCATGTGCGCTGCACTGGGCGAGCCAACCTATTAGCGTTCGTGTACGTGAAACAGCAACCATGTTCACTGCACTGGACGAGCCAACCAATTAGCGTTCGTGTACGAAACTATGCCTATTCAGCTTCGTGTAGAAAATTCGACCAGACAAGTGTTTCCATGGTTTGCCACACGAAGCTAAGGAGGAAAGTAATTGTTTTGAGCACCATCGGTAGTTGTTCATCTCACTCAGTTCACGTGGTTTTAGATTATAACAACCCGGTGTTAGATTCAATCAATATTGTTGTTTAATGAAAATACGTTGCATTATTATGGTTTGTTTATTGTTATAGTTTATTGTAATAGTCTTTTTACTTATGGTTGCTCTGAAAAGGGCCGTTTGTTTTGAATATTTTCGGGGTTTTTGATGACGTCATCGTCGATACGAGGCGTACGTAAAACGGAGGGTTCGTATAACTGGGGTACATAAAAACGAGGTTCTACTGTATGTAGTTTTGTTACTAAATTTAGGTTGCATACTGTAATGGGAACAGCAGAAAACAATGTCAATGAATGATGTTCAAAATTTTATTTTTAGTTTAGGACATGGCCTAGGCCTAGTAGTAGTAGGCTAGAGATATCGGCGCTAATGCACTTTAGTACTGTAACACTTCTATCTTCAAAAATTGTCTTTTTACCTACTGTGCGCGCTCCTAACAATATCTTACGATTCTTTTTCATCCAGTTCTCTTACTAATTACTCCAGTTTTTAGCATTTTATTACTAAAAACAACGTTCTTTCCCAGCGATTCATGATGATAGCGACTCGCGATGTTTGTTTATAAATAATTAATTGCCAGGTTGTTATCCAATTTTAAGGACAGCTCTGTTCGTTGCCAGGTTTTCTTTTTTTTTTTTATTTTGTTAAAGCGATGCCTTTTCATAAATTGTTATTTGTATTTTTATCTGTATTGTTTATATCGTTTTTCTGGTACAGCGCAATATTAATAATGACATATTACATTTAGGGACAACAGCTATTATTTCGTCGGGAAAATCTGACCCCTCATCGGGGCTTCACTGCATTTAGGACATTGCATTTAGGACCTTTATTACATTTAGTCCCAAAATTCTTAAAACCTTTATTATATTTACTGTAGACACAAAAATTATTACACACAGGACATTTATTACATTTAGACCCAATAGTTATTACACTTAGACCCTTTATTACATTTAGACCCAAAAATTCTTAGAACCTTTATTATATTTAGGCACAAAAATCATTACACTTAGAACTTTTATTACATTTAGACCCTAAAATGCAATACCTGTATTATATTTAGACCCAAAAATTATTACAATCAATCATTTGTCAATCTTGGCCATTATTATACTTAGGACATTGCACTTAGGACCTACATATATTTATGTATACATTCTTTCATAATGTATGCATGTTCTGCTGCCTTCCTTTTCCCTTCTTTCACGAGCCATCAAAATTGTCATACTGTTTTAGTAGAGTCTTGCACTCTACAATAAGTTCTGAATATCTGAAGCTTCATTTTTGATTCTGAATTCTGGCAACACCAAATCATAAAGTTTGAATTCTGGCAACAACATTAGGCTCGATCGCCAATTCGCCATGGAGACTACGGATGGAGCCATATTAGGCGTTAAAAGCCATTGTTTTTAGTAATAAAATGCTAAAAACCGATGTTATTAAGCAGAATCTGAGTGAAGAAACATCGCAAGATATTGTTAGGAGCACACAGTAGGTAAAAAGACAAGTTTTGAAGATAAAAGTTTTACAATACTAAAGTGGGCGCTAATGCACTTTAGTACTGTAACACTTCTATCTTCAAAACTTGTCTTTTTACCTACTGTGAGCTCCTAACAATATCTTACGATGGTTCTTCATTAAGATTCTGCTTAATAACATCCGTTTTTAGGCATTTTATTACTAAAAACCACGGCTTTTAACGCCTACGGCTCCATCCATCTTCGGGTCCAATGGCGAATTGGCGATCGATCCTAATGCTGTTGCCAGAATTCAAACTTTATGATTTGGTGTTGCCAGAATTAGTAAATCAAAATGAAGCTTCAGATATTCAGAACTTATTGTAGACTCCACTACTGTGCAACAGTATGACAATTTCGATGGCTCGTGAAAGAAGGGAAAAGGAAGGCAGCAGAACATGCATATATTATGAAAGAATGTATAAATAAATATATGTAGGTCCTAAGTGCAATGTCCTAACTGTAATTATGGCCATGATTGACAAATGATTGATTGATTGCAATAATTTTTGGGTCTAAATATAATACAGGTCCTATGCATTTAGGGTCCAAATGTAATAAAGGTTCTAAGTGTAATGATTTTTGTGTCTAAATGCAATGAAGGTCCTATGTGTAATATGTTTTGGGTCTGAATGTAATAAAGGTCCTATGTGTAATCATTTTTGGGTCTAAATGTAATAACGGTTATAAGTGTAATAATTTTTGGGTCAAATGTAATAAAGGTGCTATGTGTGATAATTAGGCCTATTGTTTGCTCAATTGCGGTCATACTAATTACCGTCAACAGGGCCGAGAGCGACGAATTGTGCTTCTTCTCCCCGACGGGGGCGGGGGACAGCTCTCCCCGACGGAGGCCCCCCCCTGCTGGCGCCACCCCTGGGCAAATCCTTGTTGCTTTTTGAAGATTGTTGAGGGCTGTGACGGTTGTTGACTAAAATATGGTCTTAAAAGCATCGATCACACAAAAACAATTTCTGATGGGAATTCGATGTGAATACAGCTTCAGTATGTAATAGCTGAATTGTCCCTAAAATTAGTAAATGTAATATGTCATTATTAATATTGTACTGTACCAGAACAACGATATAAAAATACAGATAAAAATACAAATAACAATTTATGAAAAGACATCGCTTTAATTAACAAAATGAAAAAAAAACCTGGCAACGAACAGAGCTGTCCTTAAAATTGGATAACAACCTGGCAATTACTTATTTATAAACAAACATCGCGAGTCGCTACCGTCATGAATCGCTGGGAAAGAACGTTGTTTTTAGTAATAAAATGCTAAAAACTGGTGTAATTAGTGAGAGAACAGATGAAAAAGAATCGTAAGATATTGCTGTCTCTTGTGGCCGAGTTGGATCGAATTCAGTAGTACTACTACTAAAACAGTAAAACAAATCGAGATACAATCATCAGAAAATAATTAGGCCTCGGCCTAAAAAGAAAATATTACAAACATTTCAATGTTAAAAATAGAATAGAAGACAGAACTTGTGGACACTCTTAAAAATTAAGCTGCTAAAGCAACTTTCCCGTGTGGGGCAATCGCATTGTAGACAATTGTAATGCACTCCCAAATGAAGTTGTAACAGCTCCCTTTCTCTATGCGTTCGAGAATAGACTAGATAAATTCTAGATGCATTTTTAATTTGATATACTGTACTGTATTCATTTTTGGGGATTAATAATAGGCCTACAGTAGGCCATCCTATGTAAAAAATTGTTGATCGTCTTCAAGACTTCACCCGACCATTTTTTTTTTCACCTAAACTCACAAAAATGTCGTCTTTCTGCCCATAATTGAACTTCGGCTAGTGCTAGGCTTTATTGGGGGTAATTATTTTGTCTTTCAATTGCTTGTTCGTAAAAATTCCAGCAGATCAAACGCTAGGGCTAGGCCTATCACTAGAAAATCCGGCAAAGTCATCCACCCATTTCCATGATGGATTCGAAGACTTGACATGTATCAATGGGGTGGTTTCATTTCTGATTAAAAAAACATTTTGTTTTTAAAAAAGGATGATAAATTTTTTTTTTACATGAAAAATACTAAAAAAATAAAATTAAGTTTTAGTTTCATGTCCAGGATTTGATATTATTTTTTGGTGAGTACAGTATATTACTGCTTACTAGTTTATTATTTATTTCATTCATCAATACTTCACGAGGGGCTATACCTAGGATGATAGTAAGTACTTTCTATTGCCCGCTTCTTAACCAATCAATGCCCAGAATCTATGTATGCGGTATATAATACAGTATTATATATTTTCCGCGCAGGCCTTACACAGTCTGGCCACCAACAATAGGCCTTCTTTTCAATTTAAAATAATTTATAGTCTACTAATTAAATTTCAGGATTTTGTAGTGCAATTTGGCAACCTGTCTGGTACCTGATGGTGGAAAACGTCATAAGCAGTTTACTTAGGATGGTTTTGGAATACTTGGGCCTGCCATCTCATCATAATCAATTGGTTTGTACAGTATATACATACCGTCATCATCATTCCTGATGATGACATAATTAATGTCGAAATATTGAATCCTGACACGATGGCGTGCATTTCGATTCTTGGAGTATGTACAGTATTATACTATCTTATACTTAGTGTGTTATTATATTCCTTTGAATAGATCAGTCTCTAGCCATATTGATGCCAAAATAATTATTTGGGTATAACATTGTAAATTTACAGTAATTGACAAAATAAATGCAGGCTCATACGTTGTTGTTGATCTATATAAGCTAATAATGAGTATTTTTGTCCAATTAATCTTTAAAGGTTTATGGAAATTTTAAATGTAATGATGATAAGAAAAGAAGACGTCGAAGAAGTTTGGTTCGGGTAATTGGCAGTAATCTTCCATTGAAGCCATGCAAGAGAGTTTGTTTCCAGGTTGTTTTATATATTTCATTTCATTTTTACATTTTCTTATCTAGTATACCCAACATTTACTAAAAAAGTGATGTGGGACAGGATTGCATATAAGTGGTCAAAGAAAGTTGTAACTTTACAAGCATTTCCACAGTATACATCAATTGAATGCAACTTGATACTTGGCAAAATTATGGAACATCAACTCGTTGCTCACATCACCAAGTTACACAGTCAAAGTAGATTGTGTAAGTTTGTGAAAACACAATGGCGTCAGGAACTTTTGTATTCTTTATCACACAAAAATCTAAAAAAGTGTGTGTATTTGAGGTGCTTTTTTGTTTTCACTAACACACAATCTACTTTCATTGTGTTAGTTTGTGATGTGAGCATCAAAATATAGGAAAAAAAAATAGGCAGTATAACGGTAAAAGCACACATTGTATTCCTGATCATCATTCATGGTTGTTTATTTACTATAGACATTACAAAAAAGTAGTTACAATCTGAGAAGGGGAAGAAAGCCAACCTTTATTGATGATGAATGCGAACCCCTTCCCATGGCAACACTGGCTGATGTGTCATGGATTGAAGTCTCAAGTCCAGACAGACATACCAGATCAAGGTAACATTGTGGCTTAATTCAATTCAGCTTTTATTTCAGAGTTACTAATAAAAACAAAAGAAACAAACAAACTACAGTACATTAATGCCGTACATAAAATGAGAAGCGGATTGCATGGGAGACAGAATTTGTGCTTAGGATCCTGAATTGGAAGGCAAGCATTTTGAACAAGAAGATACAGCTTCTCTCCAAAAGTACATTTTTATTAATTCACCAGTCTGTATTTTTATAGATAATAATTTAAGGTAGAGTAAGTCTGGGCACTCATTGCGCCCGACGGCGGACGCAATTCTATGGAGAATGGTACGCCACGACGTGCACAACTGATTGTTTTTAATGACGATCCGTTCAGACTGCCGCCGACAATCAGCAGGTGGCGTTACATTGTCTAACGCTCGCAGGGAGCAGAGATGGATTTGACGGTCTAACGACCGTCGTACGATGCAGTGAGTACCTGGTTTAAGAAACACGTAAGAATCCTTGGGCTGTGCTTAAATTAGCACATTGTAGGTAAATAATCTGGCAGTACAATTTTCAAAAATCAAGTTATTAATTTCTTCCAGAACGGAATACAGAGGTTCATATAAATGGAAAGATAGACGATGCAGGCCAGTACAGCTGGTTCAGCCAGTATTGAAAAAGACAACTGTAGAGTCTGTTGAAAATCCAGCTAAGCAGATGAAGATAACAGATACGCCTAAGGTAGCTACCCCAGATCATGCCTCCTTGATGAAGATTGATGCCCTGGAAGAGGAGCTGGCAAAACTGCGAGCACAGATTGCTCAGATTGTCACCACACAACAATCATGTTCAGGTACAGTGCATTAACAATTAAATATGTATACCAAAAAGTAAGGACTTGCTAAAAACCAGTTATACATTCATCAATATCATATAAGAGTTTTAAGCTGACCTTTACTGACAGTTTTGATGTTCATTCACCTCATCTTCAAATGTAAGAGTTTTGTTCCGCAACATTTGCACTATCTGGCACATGAAGACACAAGTGTACTGTATGACATGTTTCACTGTACTAAATATATTATCCTGACAAGCAGGAATTATCTGCTAGGTTTGAGGCAAACCCAGTCCTTCACTTATTAGTTATAATATTGCAATAATCATTGATGATGCTTATTTCATTGGCTGTGAGCATTATTAACCACTGGTGACTTGAATTTTATAACTCAGAAATTATCCACTCAAATGTATTTAAATTTTCTTGATACTTTCTTTTCTTTTCATCCATTATTATTTTATTGATTATTAAATCTTACAGCAATACAGAGCCCAACTATACCACCACCTCCCCCTCCATTTGGAGTACCACCACCACCTCCTCCACCACCATGTGGGGTACCTCCTCCGCCACCACCCCCTCCACCTGCTGTTGTGCAAGCCAAGCAATACAATATCAAGGATCAGATCAGAAAGGTAATTATTTATTTTAATTATTGGATTGAACAAATATAACTTATTTGGATAAACAAGAATATCAGTGTGTGCTTATGAACCATGGCTGTTCCTGCATTTTTGATTTTTGATCACTACCTACCCAGCTATGAGAAAAAATTTGTTTAACATTGTTAAAATGCACTACTTTTATAAATGCTGTATAGGGTTTGTGCATGTTTAACAACTTTATTTTTACTATTAAAGCAAAGCCTTACCAGATATAATATATTCTATTGCAGAATAAGGCTCTCAAGGGTCAGGATGACCACTCATCAAAAGATACAAAATCCTCAACTTCTTGTTTCTGATTTTATTATGTATATAAAAGGCATATATATTTCTAAATTTAATAATGATGGTTATGATGATGGTACAGTAGAACCTCGTTTTTTACGTACTCCAGTTATACGAACCCTCGGTTTTACGTACACCTCGTATCGACGATGACGTCATCAAAAACCCCGAAAATATTCAAAACAAACGGCCCTTTTCAGAGCAACCATAAGTAAAAAGACTATTACAATAAACTATAACAATAAACAAACCATAATGCAACGTATTTTCATTAAACAGCAACGTTGATTGAGTCTAATACCGGGTTGTTATAATCTAAAACCACATGAACTGAGTGAGATGAACAACTACCGATGGTGCTCAAAATAATTGCTTTCCTCCTTAGCTTCGTGTGGCAAACCATGGAAACACTTGTTGGTCGAATTTTCTACACGAAGCTGAGTAGGCATAGTTTCGTACACGAACGCTAATTGGTTGGCTCGCCCAGTGCAGTGCACATGGTTGCTGTTTCACGTACACGAACGCTAATTGGTTGGCTCACCCAGTGCAGCGCACATGGGTTTAGTTTGTCTCAACAGGCCCAGACAACACCACAGCTCTGTTGTTTAAAATAGGCATGAAGGGGAATTCCCAAGTTATACCTTTGTCGTATAGGTAATCTTACTATATTTTCATGTTCTTTAGTTAAATAAAAGATATAAAGTGATGAATTAATACACTAGACACACGGTTTTATTTGAACACTTTTGAATAAAAACACTAAACACATGGTTTTATTCGTAGGCCTAGAGGCTTGGTCTAGCCTATCTAGGTAACATCGTTTGTTCATACATACGTATATTGAGCATTACCTACGTATTAGGTCAAAGGTTACCACAAATTTAACCCAACATCTATTTTACGAATCCCCCGATTTACGTACGCCCTCTGGTCCCGTACCGTACGCAAAATCGAGGTTCTACTTTAATTGAAATTTTAATTATTTTCTATATTGTAATTTAAATTTATATTTATAGCATTTTCTTTATTTTGTTTTCTGATTCCTCACATCGCTTGGAGATCCACTTTGACAGTAATTTATTTTCCTTTTTGGTTATCCCGCCGGCCCTTGTGGAGAATCAGAGGCCAATTTTTTTTTTTTTGTATCTTTATTGTTTATTATATACAGCAAAATAAATGAAATCCTGGACTCATCCTGTGAATGGATGAAATTATTAGAAATCCACATCCTAACTCAAGTGTAAAAGAGACTATTAAAATGCAAAGAATTCTCATTAGACTTTCAATATATAATTTGCATTTTTTTTGTAGATCCCCAGGCGGAACTCCTGTTCGACAAGCACCGAAGCCAGCCAATGCTATGGATGCAGCTGCCCTCATTGCCCAGGCTCTGAAGAAAAAATTTGCTCATCAACTGGTGGCCATAGCTAGTCCTGATAAGGAAAATAATCACAAGATAATTACCCCATCCCCTAAACGTAGTCCTAAGGTAAATTTAAAATCACATTTTACAATAGTAAATCTTAATGCGTATGTACACCATTTCAGATATATTGCATTTTGGTTAAGCTGTGATACCCTTAGTGGGGCCATAGTAACCCATGAAGCTGCCCTTGGTTAAAAACAGTTTGCTATAATTGGAGACCCAACCCCACCAGAGGTGGTCTCGAATTAAGATGGCAAACTGCATTTGCATTGGTGTATACGCCATTTGAATACCTACAGTTGTTCTTCGCCTAGGAGATAAGGGGTTACATGATTTTACACCAGTGTGCTCATTGAATATCGAATTCTCTTCCAAGAGTGCTAAGTATCTGTCGGTTGTGTTTGATTCAACTACTGGGATAATGTAAAGTTTTTCTTTGTTGTTTCTCCACAGATCGGACCTCATATGCTGAAACCTTCTCAGAGACGCCAATCATTAACACGGAAGAAGCCCCGTCCACTAACACCTCTCAATGTTTAATGATGCTTAATCACCGGCTATCCAGAAACACTAATCATTTATATTAAAAAAACCTGTTTAGTAGCAGAAATCAAGGTCAATGATTGGTTGACACAACAAAATAAATAACTATTTTATCTATTAAGGCTAAGAAAAAAATAACATGTTATACAGTTGCCATCAGACATATGTTAATACTGCCCTCTATGGGCTTCTTTTATAACCTGGTTGGATAACTCTACCAAATTCACAAAAGTCACAATGCAATTCGTAAAATTTGGAGGAATATTAATTTACATGTTGAATATTTTTTTTTGTAGACACAAATTGCAGTTGTTTATTTCAATTTTATAGCTAATGTACAATATTTCAATATTTTCATATCACATAATTATATTGAGCCAAGAATACAATCCCTTGTTAGAGGAATCTGCTGCCCAAATAATTTTTTTTAAACTTTTTTATGCCAGCCACTACCATGAAATTTAATTAATTTTTATTTCTTCGTTATCAATCTGCTTTAACTGTGATACTTTTTTACAGCACATTTTATCCACAAAAAAATAGTTACAGTATTTCTGGCCTTCTGACAATCTTTCAAAACTAAAGTTTGCTATATAAATGTATAAGCAAATCTGGTCTTAACAAAATTGTAAGATATATAAAAATATTTCAATTTTTTTCTCTTTTTTGTAGATGAGTTGGTAAAAAATCGTTTGTAAAATGTGTAGAAATATATTAAATACGATGAAAAATAATGCCTTGATTTGGTTTAATTTATTCATTCTGCCTGTGTAAAAATAATTCTTTATTGGTCCTCATTCAAATATGAAATTTGGGCTGGGACCCGCAGCAGACGCAATGTAGCTGCACCCAGCTTAACTACAACAATATATATAATGTATAATGGACACGTACATTGTCTTTCACTCTCTCAATATGAGGGTTATTCGTTCGAGGAGCCAAATTATCAGACTACAATTAAAACCCAACGCTGGCTGGGTTTGAACTGGGGTCATCAGCACAAGAAGCAGGAACAATACCTCTCAGCCAACTGCTTAGCTAGCATCTTCAAATACTAGCAGTTATTGAAAATTCTATAACCTAAGGGCTGATTATAGCCCCTCTCCACATCAAACCCATGCATACAAGCCATATAAATCAGGGGGATGAACCCCCCTCTGTGAAGAAATGTAAAGTACTACTGGGTCCTGGCTTACAAAATGTATGCTTGCCTATCTAGGCATAAGTTGGCAGATTGGATAAACTAGGCTTAGCCCAACTAGCCTTCAATTAAGTAAAATTAAAAACACTGTTTTTAACTCGCCATCGTAGTAATTTATGTATGAAAGTGCGTTCTTGAGGCCTATTGGTTCATCAATCCATAGAAGAAAGACTACGTATCCAACTACACAATATTGTTGGAATATAATAATAATTGCCTATATGTCATTGATATTTTTTCTCTATGTATAGGCCTAAGAATGAGATAAAATTACATGACCTATTTCAAGAGGGGGAAAAATTCTGAAAAACTTAAAAGATCATTAAAAGACACCTCCCTTTCAATTTCGGGTTTTTTGGAAACATTTTCAACCCCCCTCTTTCAAATTCTGGATCTTCCCCTGTCAATATACAGAAACCACATCTGATGAAGTACCCCTATTGGCCTAAATATGCACCTGGGCAAAAGTGTTATTCACACAGACAAGAAAACATAACAGTATTCATTGAGGATATGTTTTTAATATTCCCTCTACATAATTACAATAGACATATATTCATTTCTATTTTCAAAGGAAAATATTTTCCTTCAATAAATTAGGAGGTCTGGCATGTAATCATAATACTACTTTTGCGTCAACATAATGTATGTACAAAATATTACATTGCCTTAACTTTTTAATTTGTACCAAAATGTGAAAAAAAAGAGGCAGATCTCCACCAAAGTTTGTGCAACAAATGTTAAAATCTCAACAGGTGGGCAGAAGATACTCTTTTCAGATTGGATAATACAGTAGTTTATGCATACAATTATTTTTGCATATATAGGCAAATAATTAACAAGTTATGCTTGCAATATTCAGTGTTTTTGTGCATGTGTAAGTATACAGGCAAATTAATTAATGACTTCTTATAAACCATTTTGTGTACTTAGTCTACTTCTGAATGACTCCCTAAGTTTGGGTAAATAAATAAATTAATGTACATTATCAACTTTTCAATTCATCTTAAAATGAGGAACTGGATGCAAGCACACAACAAATTGTGAAGTTGAGTCCATATTGACAATGTTGATAATGCATCATAAACTACAGAAAGACATCATCTTCATATCTAAATTTCTGGAAAAGGTAAGAAATACAGTATTACTGTAAATTGTATTTAAAGGCACCTGCAGAAATATTGGGCAATACCAATAAACAGAGAATACATAGGCACATCAACATGTGCACAACCTCAAATAATTTTTTTTTTTATGGTGAAATATTTAATATTTTTTAGTTAAAAACCTTAGAAATTACACATAGCACAATAAATGACGTAAAGCTCATTTGATAAAAAAAACCTAAAAGAAATAATATGATGCTATACAATCGTAATGTTAAATTTCTTCAAATAACATATGTGGTAAAGACAAGCCAAACCAAACTCGTCGCAAATCGTGTTTCAGAGAAAATGGCCAAAACTTGCTAAAATGTCAAATTATAAAAAATCTATTTTATTGCACTAAACTAACCTTTATATATCTACACACCATCCTATGCTGTTATTTTCCCCATTTTCAATGTTAAAACAACACTTTTTAAGGATTTAAAGATAGTTTCTGCATGAGAAATGCCTGAAATCATAAACTTTAAAGGCTGATTTCTCATATATTGTTCTTTAAACAGTTGTGTAACGCTTGTAACTTCATAAGGAAAAGTCCGATTTGAATGATTTTTTTACCATTTTATAGCTATTATTTTACTCTCTAACACTGTATTAATAACACAAAATCGATTTTTGCGACTAGTGACTGGTTTGGCTTGTCTTTGTCACATATTACACATTTCAGTGTTTTAAGCCCGGACCAGTCAATGCACCCGATGGTCGTCGGCCGATGCGATTATATGGACAACGCAACGCCACGAGCACAACGGATCGTTTTTAAAGACGATCCATTCAAAAAAACCTGACCTGTCAATATGTGTTAAAAATTTTCACTGTTTTTCACATTTTCACTGATTGTGAAACATGTTTGGCAGCCAAAAGGATGGCTTGTCTGTTGGATAACAGCTTGTCTATCAGCCAATAGGATGGCTTGTTTTATTCCAGCCAACAGAACTAATTTTTAAACTATCTGGCAATTACCATGGGAATAAGGTTTACAATTGCACTTTTATTTGGTCATCTCATACTTATTACAAAATTATAAATCAAAAATAAATAGTGTACTTTTATTATAAAAGAAAAACCAAAAATACAATTAAAAAAGCAATTAAACATTTTAATAACATGTATAGCTTCCTTTTTTTATAGCTTATATCTTCAAATCTATATGCCCGGTGGGTTGCTGAGATCACAGATAATATCAATCTACTATTTAAACCATACATTTAAAACTAATGACTATTTGAAATTAAGCATTTAAAAAAAATGTTTTGAAGTGGAAAGTATTAATTAAACCTTCTATGTGGGTACTTCAAGACATTTATTTCAAGGCCAGTTATATCACATGTTTAATGAATTTTTTTTTTTTCTCTTATTATCGCAAAGAATACTTTACAGCTCAGTAACATGTTATCCAGCATGCAGCAGACTGTTTGAAGAAGCAAGACAGGTTTCATGTTAAATTGTTCACAATTGGCTGTTTTATCAAAGTTAGTACCATAAACTCCTAGTTTTGCCAACCACACACTGCCATACAGAATGTTTAAGTTTTGTAATCAGCATATCATGGAATTTTGTTTTTTTAACCAAGGAGGTATTGTACAGTATGGAGGAACAATGGCAAACAGTTTGAGATTATAGACTGGTGATCTGATTGGCTGCTAAAAATGGCTACAAGATCCAACAAAATACAATATTTGCCTCCACAGCAAGGAGTACAAGCATTTATAAACCACCAATCAAATCAGTTTTGCTATCACGACCCTCCATGTAGAGAAAACAGGCACGAACAAGAAAACATGATAACATATACAGTATTGTACCTCAATGGTATGAATGTTACAAAAAGTGCGCACACCTGAGAATTGATCATATAAACTTTGACTCTTCCTAACATTATACAATGACCTATTGACCTATGACCTATTTTTGTACAATCAGTGGTAAAACAACTCAAGCATCTTGAGCCGAGCACTCGCTACACTCCAAGGTCGTCGACTGGCGTGATTACATGGAAAACACAATGCATTAACGCACGTTCAACAGATCGTTTTAATGGCGATTCGTTCAGGCTGCCAACAATCAGCACACAGAGCAGAGTTAAATTCGTTGTACGACAGTCGCACAACGGTCGTATGAGGCAGTGAGTGCCCAGCTTAAATGTTCATCTCTTAGTTGCAAATAAACTGAAAAAATACTTATTAAAGGAAATGTTTTTTTTTTCAATTTTCACTTTAGAAAAATCTATACCACTGTTGTGTGAAATCCGATCAGCTACCGTATATTAAATTAATACCTATCCTTCACTATTGAAACAATATTTTAAAAGCAAAACATTTTTTCAATCAATTTCATTTATAACTATCAATCATAAATAATATATCAAGTAGTCATTTTTTCAATCATTAATATTCATTAATAATAAACATATTTACATATTTACATAAATAAACTGCAATTTATATAAATATGCAAAATATACATACCTACATAAATTACAAAATATTATTAAAGTAGTTAATAGTTTATTCAGTTATAACTGATAATAAATTGAAGGCAATTTGCTAAACAAGAAAATTTTAATTATGTAACACTATTTACAACTGGAATGTTCGAAGAGTCCTATTGCATCTTGTTGTAGCCCTGAACATGTGTAATATTCATTACCTAAAACAAACATCTAATCACAGGAAAAGCAGCAAATGCACATGCATTTAATATACAAGTCCCAGGGTAAACATTGGATACAGATGTAATGCAGAGTGGTGATTGGTCTATTAGAGCCAATCAATTGAAAGACACTTAGATTTATTTAGATATAAATCATTACTTGACCATGCATAATTAATGAGGTAAATGAATAATCGCAATCATATAAAATTAAATTAGCATTAATTAGTAATGGAAATTGTCCAAATAAAATCTAATTATGAGTCACTTCAAGTTGATTTTGTCTGCAAAATAATTATAAAAACAAATTTACTATATGAATTAAAGTTCTATAGATACAATTATTGTTATATTATATATCAACTTTTTTGCAGTTTCTGATAAAATAACATTAAGTGGGTATAAATTAAATAATATTAAACTAGTTAATATTGGATATAAAACAAAATAACTGGTTAACATTACCTATAATTTGTGAGCTGCCGTGACAAAATGAATCTTGTGGTACGAAAAATGAAAAATTAGTTATTGATATATTTAGATAGATGACTATGATAAGATGATAAGCTTTATTGTGGTCTTTTAATCATGTTCCTGGGTTGAGTAAAACCAGAGTAAGATCATTTTAAAGTTCAGATGTCTAAAAAAAGAAAAGAGAAAAATGCCTCTAAAGATGAACAACTGAAAAATTTTGTGTTGGTTTTCTTATCAATTCCGAAAATTAGCTTTAATGTGCCTCAAAAACATGATTACCTTAGGAAACTCAACTCAGACATTTTGCTACTGTGAAATATACATATAAAACATATCAGAAAAATTTAAACCCAATCTTTGACAAAATTTTACTTATATTTTCTTGAAGATATCAAATTGACCTGGCGTACCACAAGACTCACTTTGTCACGACAGCTCACATTTATTAACTCGGTAGTTAAATTAACATTAACCTGTGAACTCTAATAAACCTGTTATCTGGTTAATAATGACTTGGTACAAATAAACATTTATTCAAATTCTAATGGTTCTTAGATTCGCTCTTTGAAATAAAATTTATCTAATTCCATAGCATTTACGAAGCAAACAACATTGGTGGTAATGCAGAAGGGAAAACATTAAGATATGAATAGATGTCTTTCAAAAAACATTGGCAGTGCACAATTAACAACTGCTAAAAATCTAGTATTAGTATTTACTGTATGTAACACGTTTAGCATCACACATGCTTCACAATCACAAACCAAAAAGTTAAATACAAAAGTGTATAAAAGATGCACCATCTCCATTTCGGTGATGTTCAAGATAGCTTAAATTTACAACATGAAGTGATAGTAAGAAAGACTGACAACAATTTCTGATAAACTTAAATAAATATTTCCTCTTCTAAAAATCTAGAGCAACTTGAACTGGTAAAACACTTCAACAAGCATTTTAGTCTCATTCAAAATGGCTCTAAATCATGAAGATATTTCTACAGCTACTTTACTATTTCCCTAATGTAAAGCTAATGTATCTAACCAGTTTGAACCAGTGAAAGTTTGCACATTGCTATGCTTCTGGAATCTTCCAACACACACCAGACAGAACTGGATTCAACCAGTCACAGTTTATCATACAGTTATAAAATTCATTTGTTCTTTTGCTATAAATTGGGATCCATCTGCCTTACTCTACTTGCTACACTTCCATTCCGTGGTAATTGCAACGAATCACCTGTACTTTGGCTGCCACTGAGATTTGACCTTAAAGGGACCGAAACATCCTTTCGCTGCTGCTGAAATTCTTGTACTTTTCGTCTTTGATCTAAGGCAAACTGTTGCACTAGTGGTTCAAATGCACCTAAATACCCATACTCGCCCTTCCTCCTAGGTCTTGGAGATAAGTCACCTGCAATGAACAAATCAATGAATCAGAATAATAAAAATACGTGAAAGAAAATGTGAAGATCATATTTCAAAGAGATGTAAAAATAGAGTAGAATAGTAACAATGTGGATTAAATTATAATAAAATTGGAAAAAAGATATTACCATTGTACATGTCCTGAAGGAAAAATCATAGTCAAAATGGAATCCAAGGGGATTCAAATCCATTTGGGGTCAATATTTTCCTTATATAAAAGTATGTTTTATACTATCATGGAAAATGAATTGGAACTAAATTAATTTTAATTACATCAACCTGCAAGTATTAATTATTAAATTAAGTATTAACTAAAAAAAATATAAACAAACCTTGAAACCGCATATCAATTCTACGTATGTTTAATTCATGCATTCTTTTCTTGATAGCGGGAGATCCTAAATTACTGGGGCTACTTCGTAAATAATCAAAGGATGGTGAGCTCCTTGAGTCCATTTGTGAGTGCAAGTGAGTACCTAGTCTAAATGAGACGCTAGGTTTACCGGTATTCTCTGACTTTGCATCGGGTGCATATTTCCCGACAACATTATTATTAAGTCCTTGAAATTTATAAGTTAGTGAACGGTCCTGATCGAGGTCGCGTCGACGCCAAGGGTCCTCAAAACTTTTGATAGTATGTGGGTTACTTATTTTCTGTAAGCGAAGTGGCAACAGATTTGAGACGTCCCTGTGCATATCTACATTAGTGTTACTGCGTTTACGTTCAACAGGCTGGTAGACCTTAGAAACATGTAAGTCTGTATCTGGTGGAATAACTTCCTCTGAGTTTGTTCGCAAAGGTGTTGCCAGCTGATTTGACAACGTCGGTACATCAGCATGAGGATGGCTTGTGTTGGAGCGACTTAAGCCTGAATAACCAACCACATTTGTATGCAAATGGTCTAGTGAATGTTGCTTGGTGGGCAATGTAGATGTTTGTTTTAAAACATTCTGATTTGTTTGAGTAGCTTTGGTGTCTGAATTGCACGTAGATGTTTGAGTCATAATGTCTTTTAAATTGTGTGTCTTAAGATCCTGTGTTAATACCTGATTGGTTTCTGAGATTGGATGCTCAGTATCAGTCTTTTGCAATTTCACAACATGTCCATTGCACACTGGTTCCGTTTGTTTTTCTTTCCTCTCAACATTTAGAGTTCTTTCTTTAAGATTTGTTCCATTTTTAACTTCCAACTGTTCTTCTTGCCTCTCATTCAATGCTTTCTCTTTCTTTTCTGCTTCTTTTTGTTTGATTTCTATCCAGCGTTTTTGGTTACTTCGTGCATTTTCTAGCATGTATTTTGACAGCTGGCTGGGTTGAAAACGATTCCAGAGCTCAAACAATGGCTCAACAACGAACCTAATAAAACCTTCAGTAAAAAATAAAATGCGTTGGATTTTATTGACATAATCGTATGAATTCAATTAAATTTTCTGAAAAACTAAAATTACATGGTCACAAAATATGTGAAATATTTCAAAGAAACCTTGATAAAGTCAAGCTTACCGTCTTGAATTTTGGCGCAGGTGTTTTTAGTACGGTCATTGAGTTCTGAAACTTGTAATCCAAGCCGTCTTTCTTGATCACCTACAATGAACAAAATTTAGAATTAAAATTATGTTGCTTAACCTTGTACTAAATTGTATCATGAAGTTTGTATGTTGTCTGCTTCTCAAGCTGCATTAACCCTTGTTTTTATTTCATTGTATTTCAAGCTCAACCAACAGCGGGAAACCCGTCACTTACAGAATGGATCAAAAATAAAATATAAATATATGAATATAATTATATAAAAGTTGGAAGTTCAAAATACAGAAATTAGAA